ACACACCCACACCCACACCCACACCCACCAAGTTATGAAGATAGTTTCTTGATGTTATGGCCTATTTATTCGCAATAGAAGTGGAGCTATGGATATTTCAAAAGCCTTAGTTTTTGACATGTGGAAAAGTTTTAACTTCAATTGGTTGGGTTTTTATTTGTTATTATTAATGGAATACACATAACTGGCTATGTTAAGGGGAGGATTTGAATTTCTTGAGCTAACAAAGCTCAATTTTTACTTGATAACCAGGTGCCAAGCTAAAAAAATTATAGAAAAATTCTTGAGATTGGAAATAATCAAAGGTTTTGAAATGAGTAAATTTTACCTTCATATGAATTTCCTTCACTCTCTTTCAAATTGGCACAATTGAAATTCCAATTAGCATTCAGATCCATATGTCTCTTTTTAACAACCTATGAAAATGTTTAAGATTTGAGAATTCTCTTGATTAAAGTATCCATTATAATGTTCAATTATGATTTATGGGGTTTCTGTTTGTTTTGTAACTTAAAAATTAATGGAGACCCATCTTTAAAGCTAACTTTTTAAAGTACTTAGATATAGACACTCTATTTGCATGGTAAACCAATACAATACGGGTGTGTGCAAATATCCGATATGGATGTGTTAGTTTCTTGCTAATTTTAGAGTATTTTAAAGAATACGCATGAATTACCCATATCCATGTCACATCCGGTTGATACGTGTTAAAGTAAATGAAAGATCTTTGTAATATAGGTTAAACTTCAAAAATCAGATGCTAAGCATTTGCATGCAGTAAATACACCTAAACTTTTGCTGCATAATTTTAACTGGCAATGTTCGTGCCACCCAGAAAGGAAACTAGGAGTTATCAATTGCTAAGAAATTGATATACTTAAAGATGGGTTGCAGAATTATCATCATTGAGACCAGTGGTATTTATCTTAAGTATGTATTAACTTGAGATATAAAATAGAAAAGGGAAAAAGTTGCTAGCCCAATGAATTCCCAATAATTTTAGAAGTTATTTAAATGGGCATGATTACCAGTCCTATGCCTGATTGATTATTTCCTTGTAACTTGTTGAGTTGCAGTTATCAACTTTGCCGTTTCTTGTTTGCAGATCTATCAGTAGAAGTGATCTCTGCAGGTTATTGTTTCTTGTGAGTGTATCAATATGGCTACTTCATCAGTATGCATAGCAGGAAATAGTTTGTCTACTCATAGAAGGCAGAAAGTTTTCAGGAAGGAGATTTATGGCAGGAAAATTTTATTTTCCTCAAATCTTCCATCGTCTAGTAAAACATCGAGAATAGCTGTAAAAGCATCCCTTCAGCAAAGGCCAGATGAAGGAAGAAGAGGTTTTCTCAAATTATTGCTTGGAAATGTTGGGCTTGGAGTACCGGCTTTGTTAGGTGATGGAAAAGCCTACGCTGATGAGCAAGGTGTGTCTAACTCAAGGATGTCGTATTCTAGATTTTTGGAGTATTTGGATAAGGATAGGGTGCAAAAAGTAGATTTGTTTGAAAACGGAACCATAGCTATTGTTGAGGCTATATCTCCAGAATTAGGAAACCGGGTTCAGAGGGTTCGGGTACAACTACCTGGGCTCAGCCAGGAACTCCTTCAGAAGTTGCGAGAAAAGAACATTGACTTTGCTGCTCACAATGCCCAAGAGGACTCGGGTTCTTTCCTATTCAACTTGATTGGGAATCTGGCATTCCCGCTTATTTTGATTGGTGGTCTTTTCCTGCTATCAAGGCGGTCTCCCGGAGGAATGGGAGGTCCTGGTGGGCCTGGTAACCCATTAGCATTTGGTCAATCAAAGGCTAAGTTCCAAATGGAGCCAAACACTGGTGTAACATTTGATGATGTTGCTGGTGTAGATGAAGCAAAACAAGATTTTATGGAGGTCGTAGAATTTTTGAAGAAGCCCGAGAGGTTTACCGCAGTGGGGGCTCGTATTCCAAAAGGTGTTCTTCTTGTTGGTCCTCCTGGTACTGGGAAGACCCTGCTAGCAAAGGCAATTGCTGGTGAAGCGGGTGTTCCATTTTTCTCAATTTCAGGTTCAGAATTTGTTGAGATGTTTGTTGGTGTAGGAGCCTCTCGAGTCCGTGATCTTTTCAAGAAGGCCAAGGAAAATGCTCCCTGCATTGTATTTGTTGATGAAATTGATGCTGTTGGGCGGCAAAGAGGGACTGGAATTGGAGGAGGGAATGATGAAAGGGAACAGACCCTGAACCAACTATTGACGGAAATGGATGGTTTCNAGAAATGGACGGTTTCGAAGGAAATACTGGTATAATAGTTGTTGCGGCAACCAATCGTGCAGATATTCTTGACTCTGCTTTGCTGAGACCAGGGCGATTTGATAGACAAGTAAGAATCTGTACTTGCTTCAGTTTTTGAACTGTGATTTTTGCAAGAAACTAATTTTTGATTTCTTGTGCAGGTAAGTGTGGATGTTCCAGATATCAAGGGAAGAACAGAGATCTTAAAGGTTCACGCGGGCAACAAGAAGTTCGATTCTGATGTTTCTCTTGAAGTTATAGCCATGAGGACACCCGGTTTTAGTGGTGCAGATCTTGCTAACCTCTTAAATGAAGCAGCCATTCTTGCTGGTCGGCGTGGTAAGACAGCAATCGCATCCAAAGAGATTGATGATTCAATTGATAGGATAGTGGCTGGAATGGAAGGAACAGTCATGACTGATGGCAAGAGCAAGAGTCTGGTGGCATACCACGAAGTTGGACATGCCATCTGTGGGTGAGTTGCTACACTATTAGCTAGTTACCCTTGGCTCCTGATTTACATCTGTTGTATAAGCATTATTGTAAGACAATATTATGAGCTATTTATTATTGTGTTGGCATTTCAATTCCCTCTAATGGCACTCTATGTTCCTTTCCATGCAGAACTCTCACTCCAGGGCATGATGCTGTTCAAAAGGTCACATTAATCCCACGTGGTCAGGCAAAAGGTTTGACCTGGTTCATTCCTGCAGATGATCCAACCTTAATATCCAAGCAGCAACTCTTTGCTAGAATTGTCGGAGGACTTGGGGGAAGAGCTGCAGAGGAAGTTATCTTTGGTGAACCTGAGGTGACCACTGGTGCTGCAGGCGATTTGCAGCAGATCACCGGTTTGGCAAAACAGGTATACATACCTTCAGTGCCTTTCTTTTTGTGTTTAAGGATTCTGGAATGGAGTTTATGTTGAGGTAATCTATAGATACTAGAAATTTTATAGATTGATTGATTTAAATTAAATGAACTTTAATCTCTTGTCCACCATTTGACTTGACACATAGTTTAAAAAAAAGAAACAAAGATTTTGGAACTTGTGGTCTTGAACATGCCATGAGATTTTTGTGGCTATCAAAGCATTCATAGGGTAAAGTGAGAAATCTAAAGTTAACTTGTTTCCAAACATAGAAACGTCACATTCTTTTTAGATGCTAACAGAAAAATAGTGTCACATAACATGGAATGGAGGCAGTAGTTTTCATCTTAAACTTGTCATTCTAAAAATTTCTTTCTAGATGAGTTAGTTCTATAAAATGACAAACTTTCCCTGCAGATGGTTGTCACTTTTGGGATGTCTGAACTTGGCCCATGGTCACTCATGGATTCTTCTGCCCAAAGTGGTGATGTAATCATGAGAATGATGGCTAGGAATTCTATGTCAGAAAAGCTAGCTGAAGACATTGATGGTGCTGTGAAGAGGCTTTCAGACAGCGCATATGAGATTGCATTGACCCATATCCGCAACAACCGTGAAGCAATTGATAAGATTGTGGAAGTCCTCCTTGAAAAGGAGACGATGACCGGAGATGAATTCCGCGCTATTCTCTCAGAATTTGTTGAAATTCCTGCTGAAAACCGAGTTGCTCCTGTTGTACCTACCCCAGCAACTGTATAATAACATGAACATATGCTTCAATTTGTACAATATACTCATCCACCTGATTGATTCAGGGTATATACAATAGTTTGAGATAGGTTATCAAAAAAGTGAAAATATTTTATGCATGTGTGTTGTAAGCAGTTTTTGCAATTGAAATAGAACTAGTAGTTTCTTCATTGTAAATTTGTAATGCTTTTCTCCAAGATGTGGGATGAGTTGTTTCATTTCCCATGCTTTCAGCATTTTTCAGGTCTCAAACTCCTCTGTCACAATTCACTCACATAACAATATGACAATACAAACGAGATTTTGTCCATGGATTCTCTCAGGATAATGTGGTTGTTTGTTACTGTGAAACTATGTTCCCAAGATCACTTACTTCAGGTTTGTGTAGTTTACTACGTCCAATGATACTTTTATTGGATGACGTGACATATTTAACAGCCTGTTGGGATGATTTTTCTCATTGTTTCACAATATTTGATATTGTATTATATTATATTGTTATGTGAAAACAACGGGTAGAATCTTGATGTGATAACATTTTTATTGTTTGATTCGAATGTATTGTATTTACTAGTATGACCTAAACTGATGTAAATATTAAGTTTATCACAACTTTTAATAAGATAGTTTTAGACTTTTTTTTAGTAATTTATCACCAATTATGCCTTGTAAACGTGTCGAGTTCTTATATTCATGCAAGTGCTCCAAATGAAAGATTACATAACATTCATATATTATCCATTCATGTTATCATCAACCAGAATAAGGATATCATATTTGCTTTGTTTTATTATGCGAGTGTGACAGAATTCTACATGCAAAAGTTATCACATGGACTCATAATAAAAAGATAAACAAACAAAAAATAACTATGACAAAATATTAATCATTACACAAAGTAAAGAGAAAAGAAAAAGAAGAAACCATGACGCTAGTACACGATGAGTTCATAGTCATGTTAGATGATTGTGATCTCAAATTATATTGGAAAATACTACAACACGTAGGAAAAGGCAGCACCAAAACACGAACCAGAAACATGGTGGGGACTGCTGGGAAAGAGAAATAAGGTGACTTAACCAGGAGCGGAGCTAGAGTGCAGGTTCGGTCGAACCCGATAATTTTAGTTCGAACCCTATATTTGTCTTAAAAAATTCATTGAATATGTATAAATTATTAATTTAGAACTCAATAACTTAAAACGATTAGAATCTTATCCCATAAGTTTGAAATCCTAGCTCCGCCTCTGAACGTAACCTCACTAATCACTCGTTATATAAAACTAGGAAATTTGACGCGTTCAACGCTGTTGCGAAAAACGCCATTAAATTTAAAAGAAATATTTATTTTTAAATTTTAATATGAAACAGATATGTTTTTCAATTATGTGAATAATAAAACTAATTCTACATATTGATAAGATAACAATATAAAAATTTCTGTAGAATTAGAGCTTAAATGAAATACAACAACAACAACAACCCAGTAAAATTCCATTAATGAGGTCTGGGGAGGATAGTGTGTACGCAGACCTTACCCCTACCCCAAAGGAGTAGAGAGACTGTTTCCGAAGAAAACAAAAAGACAAAAAAGACAAAAGGAGATAATATTAATATAAGCTTAAATGAAATAAATACTTTATTTTTGTTCTTTTTTGCTTTCATTAGATAGTGAAAATAATCTTGCATAAGTTCTCTTCAATTCAAGTAGAGGAAAATGAAATGAAAAATATAAAACCAAAAGTAAGGGGAAAAAGGAGTTTCTATTCCGTTTCCCTTTTTATTTTTTTACTTCTTTTTTCTTTCTCCATCTATTCCTTAGTTTCTCTCAATTTTGAACCCTAATTACAGACGTTCCCTTTTTCCTTTGCGATTAAGTTTTAGGGGAAGTTCCATACTTTTGCAGCTCGACTAAAAATATTAACACTAACTATAGACAGCTACACACATATATACATATATTAAACTTCTTCCGATTTATTTTTTTTCTTTTCCTTATATCCCTGTTTTTGTTCTGCTAAACTTTGCTCATTTATTTGATATATAAATATTAAATAAATGTTTATTTTAGTGAAATAAAATAAAAATACTTTTACATTATATCAAATAAACTTTAATTAACAATCAAATGGGTATTTTCATCATTACCTAACCTCTAATTCTAAAAGAATTTTTAATACTATAGTATATGCACCTTTAATTTAAAATTAGAGGATTCCAAACCAAGACACATAAAATGAGAGGACAAAATAAAAGGCAACGACCAACTTGAACTTTGAAACGAATGGGACAGTCTTGTCTAAGACCTCTGAGTTTCCTTCCCCTCCGTTCATCAAACTCTCGGCCGTTCTCGACAGCCTCCACTGAGTTTTCAATCCTATGTTCTCAAGGTTACCTAAAAGAAGCGTTCAATAAGTTCTCTTTCCTAATATGGGACAATCCATCTCATTTCTCTTACCTTCTACAATCATGCATCCAAAAAAATTCTTTTTCCCTCACCAAACAGTTGCATTCTCTCATACTAACCTCTGGCTGTTTCAAAGACAAATTTGTTTCCAACCACCTCCTTAATGCTTACTCTAAGTTGGGTCAGCTAGATACGGCGGTTTCACTGTTTGATAAATTGCCTAAAAGAAATGTCATGTCTTTTAACATTTTGATTGGTGGGTATGTACAAATTGGCGATTTGGATAGTGCCTCTAAGCTGTTTGATGAAATGGGTGAGAGAAATTTGGCTTCTTGGAATGTTATGATTACTGGATTGACTCAGTTTGAGTTCAATGAGAAGGCATTGAGTTTGTTTTCACAAATGCATGGATTGGGTTACTTGCCTGATGCATTTACTCTTGCAAGTGTTTTAAGAGGTTGTGCTGGCTTGAGGGATGTGAATAAGGGCAGGCAGGTTCATGGTTGTGTATTGAAATTGGGCTTAGAGGACCATCTGGTTGTTGCAAGTTCGTTGGCGCATATGTATATGAAGTCTGGTAGCTTAAGAGAAGGGGAGATAGTGATCAAGTCAATGCCAGCTCCAACTGTAGCGGCTTGGAATACCCTTATTGCTGGTAAGGCTCAGAATGGATGTTTTGAGGGTACACTGGAGCTGTATAATTTGATGAAAATCGCTGGGTTTAGACCGGATAAGATAACATTTATTAGTCTGATCAGCTCGTGTTCGGAGCTGGCTACGATAGGACAGGGACAGCAGATTCATTCTGAGGTTATAAAAACTGGAGCAGTTTCTGTGGTTGCAGTTGTTAGCTCCTTGATTAGCATGTATTCAAAATGTGGGTGTTTAGATGAAGCTGAGAAGATTTTTGAGGAAAGGGTGGAAGCTGATATTGTTTTGTGGAGTGCTATGATATCTGCTTATGGGTTTCATGGGAAAGGAAAGGACGCAGTTGGGTTGTTTCATCGCATGGAGCAGGAAGGACTGGTACCTAATCATGTGACTTTCTTGAGTTTGCTCTATGCCTGTAGTCATAGTGGGATGAAGGATGAAGGACTTGAATTTTTCAACTTGATGGTAGAAAAGTACAATGTGGAGCCTCAACTGGTGCATTATACATGTGTGGTTGATCTCCTAGGAAGAGCAGGCCGTTTGCAGGAGGCTGAAGCTCTTATTAGATCTATGCCTGTGAAGCCAGATGCTGTCATATGGAAGACGTTGCTATCGGCCTGTAAAATCCATAAAAATGCCGATATGGCTAGGAGTATAGCTGAAGAAGTTTTGAGGATTGATCCTCAGGATTCAGCTTCATATGTGCTCCTTGCTAATGTTCATGCATCTGCTAAAAGGTGGAAGTATGTTTCTGAAGTGAGGAAATCAATGAGGGATAGGGGAGTAAAGAAAGAACCAGGTATAAGCTGGCTGGAGTTGAAGAACCAGGTTCACCACTTTATTATGGGTGATAAATCTCACCCACAGTCGGAAGAGGTTGATGTATACTTAAAGGAATTGATCGCAGAACTGAAGTTAGAGGGCTATGTTCCTGATATGGGGTCCGTTTTGCATGATATGGATTTAGAGGAAAAAGAGCACAACTTGGTCCATCACAGTGAAAAATTAGCAATTGCTTTTGCTCTAATGAACACCCCCGAGGGTTTTCCAATTAGGATAATGAAGAATTTACGAATTTGTGGCGATTGCCATGTGGCTATTAAGTACATATCCAAGATCAAAAAGCGAGAAATTATTGTACGCGATGCCAGTAGGTTTCATCACTTCAAAGATTGCTGTTGTTCATGTGGAGATTATTGGTGACAATCTGACTGTAGGTAATGGTCGTTCCCCCTTTTCTCATATCGAGACTGTTTATGAACCCTTATTTCCTCTGTTAGATGTAACAATATTCAAACCTTGAAAGAGATTCACAAAAATTAAATCTTCTATTTATTTTCATTCATATTGAAAAGTGAATACAGTATTTCTCAGAATACCATGTGTCCAAATGTATTTACATATATGTTCTTCGACCCTATTTTATTTCCCTTTAGTTTGATTTTGTCCTTCAGAGCAACCAGATTTCTCCAGGAAGAGAATGGATTCTTTTGTTTCCTTTTTTTACTGGTAAAGATGCTTTACTACTATAATGTAGTTACTAGTTTCTCCAAACGTGTGAATTTGAGATTTTAAGCATAATTGGTTTAATATTTATAATTAATTTCTATTTCCAAAGTAAAAGACTATTTTTATTAGTTTAATAAGTCTAAAGCAAATTCCAGTTGACTAATATGTGCTCCAATTATTACTTCAAATTTCCAACAGATTCTCTCACATAATATCCAATAGAGATTTCCGTTGTCGTCCCAAAAGTGTATCTCTTCCATCCCCTTACTGTCCATGTTACAATCTTTTTCTTAACAAGAAAATGATAAATTAGTTCTAAACTACCAACTTCTTAAAAGAGAGCATCACAAGAATTGAAAGGAATTCATCAAAAGACCCTATATATTCTCCCAACATAAAGAGTACAGAAATGTTGCAAAGGCAAATAAATATAGGGATTAGTAAATTAAAAACAAACAGAATGCACCATCAAGATAGTCAAAATAGATAGGTGGCAGAGAGCTTTATGATTAGAAAACTCTAATCTTTAAAACAAAATGCTCTTGCATTAACTTATATCCAAAATGCTTTTGATAGGACCAAATATTATTTTTTTTAAAAAGGGAATTTCTCCCAATTCACATCCTATTCTTAGACTGTACAATTATAAAACTGCTG